ACTTTGGCTACTAATTCCCACGTCCCAAATACACCAAGTTGTTGGGTGCTGGTGGCTCACGCCTGTAATCCCAGCCACTCAGGAGGCTGAGGATCTGAGGCTCATGCTTCAAAGCCAGCCGGGACAGGAAAGTCCTTGAGTCTCTTACCTCCAATCAACCTCAAAAAGCTGGAGGTGGAGCAGATAAAGCTCAGCAGCAGTCCTCCGGCCCTGAGCTCAAGCCCTGGGACTGGCCCCAAAATAAAACAACCAAACAACGAACAAACCAAAACCCCAAGTGAGCAGATGTGGCGTGTGGATGTTGGGCCACCATTGAGGCCATAACTGAGAACTGGAAACTCAGATCCGCAGGTAATTCCCTGCCAGTCAGTGTTCTGTTACTGTAACCAACACTCAAGCCAATCAACTTACAAAGTGAAAAGGTTAATTGGCAGATAGTTTTAGAAGCCATGGCCAGTGCTTGGAGCTCAGGGTTCCATGTCATGGGGTGGGCAAGGGGTGGGACAGAGCTTCTACCTCATGGCTGGGGAGTGAAGGCCAGAAGGAAAGGAAGGAGCTGGGGGGGGAGGGGCATGGCACAGGGGAGGGGGAGGAGGGGTCCCATTATTTCCTTTGAAGGCAATTGCCAGTTACCAAAAAGTCTCCTCACTGGACCCCATATCTTTAGAGGTCCACTGCCTCCCAGTTGGGTCACAGCCAGGGATGATATCTTTATCACACAAGTCTGGGGAGTAACTTATCCAAATCATAGAAATAACTGTAGTTGCCGGGCACCCGTGGCTGGATGCCTGGAATTCCAGCTACTCAGGATGCTGAGGTCTGAGGATCAAGGTTCAAAGCCAGCCCAGGCAGAAAAGTCTCTGTGAGATTCTTATCTTCAATTAACTACCAGAAGATCAGAAGTGGAACTGTGGCTCCAAGTGGTTGAGTGCTAGTCCTGAGCAAAAGAGCTCAGGGAGGGGCTGGGAAGGGGGCTCAGTGGTAGAGTGCTTGCCTTGCATTCATAAGGCCCTGGGTTTGATTCCTCAGCACCACATAGGTAGAAAAAGCCAGAAGTGGC